ATCGACTGTCTTGGAAGGAGCCATTCCCTTCCTTCCAGGGAAGGCAAAGAAAGCAAAGGGATTTCTGGCAGGCTGCTCTCCTGAGCAGCTGAATGGTTCTGTGTAAATTGCAAACGTACTCTGATGTGTCTGCAAAAAACCTCTTTAATCCAAGTGCCTCCATAGGCACTTTTATGCAAGCAATCCAGGATGAACCAATATACCCGAGGAAATATTTTAACATTACACGTTATTAATAAAAAGGTTTATTAGCAAGAGCTTTCAGGGAAGATTTCTCTTTCCTTCCCTTTCAAGATCAACAACCCTGAGTCTAGCATCCAAGGCTGGAACCTTGTTAATTTAGGATAATTAAAGATGCCAGACACATGTTCCAGAAGGGTCTGATGAAATGCTTTATAAAAGTCATTAGTGGATCCATCTGGTCTGGGGGCCTTGCCAGATGGTAAACTCTTACTACCTCCGCAGTTTCTGCTGCAATAATATCCTGCTCCAAGATTTTCTTTTTCTTTCATAACCACCTTCGAATTTCAAGGGACTGAAAGTATTTGTTTCTTGTCTACATTGTATTTCTGTCTGTATTGGTTTTCTCTAGCAGGTTCCATACACATATACATGAAGTAGAGACCTGAAGTTTAAAACCAAGACGGAACTAAGGAAGAAAGTTTAGATATGGAATGCAAACTACTTCAAGCAGTTACATTTTTAATTGTTTAATAGAATTGAATATGAAATTGTAATTTCTGTATTTAAATTGTTCCCAAACTACAGAGAAAATTTCTCCTTCATAAAGTACATTGTCAAGGAACAGAGAATTATGGATGCTAGAAAGAATGCATGAATGGGAAGAACAAAAAGGGGATGATAGAACTAACAATTGTTGAGGAAGAGAAGTTTTGAGGAGATAAGGCTCAGGATGTGTTTAGTGACAGACTTCTCAAACCTCAAAAGCAGTTAGAGAGAAGGTGGAGGTGTACTTTTCACAAGGATGCACGGGAAGAGGGCAAAAGGCAAGAGACAAGTTGCTTTGGGAGAAATATGGTCTCAATACAAGGAAATTGTTCTCCACCATAAAGAAAACTAAAGATTGGGATAGGTTCCTAGAGAAGTGGTAGAATTCCACTCACTGGAAATGATTCAAGTCTTACTTGGCTTGATAGGACCCTGGATAACCTAATCTAAGGCCATGCTCTCAAGAGAAAGTTGGCTTGGATGACCTCTGGAGGCCCCTTCCAAACTGGACTTTTCTGTGGTTTCAAATGCTGAAATACATAAGAAAGTCTGAAGTAATCAAAGTAAAAATGCATTTTGGCTCACAGCAGTTTACTTGCATTAGATAATTGCTTCCTGATGCTGCAAAAAGCAAGCAACTTCTGTTATCTTTAATACAGGCATAGAGAATTGATGGAGATCTTGAAATGGGTGTATCAGACAAGAGGCAGAGGTTTAAAACTCACCATTCTGGGATTTTAAATTTATGACTGCACTATCCTATTTATCAGGTAGACAAAAAACTTTTTCACTGCAGCAGCCAAAGGCTAAGCATCTGCTTTTACAGTTTTGAGTGCAAATGTTCATTCAAGTTATATTTTCTATTTTGAATTCCATAGTAAACGGAACCTTTTTGCAACTATCCTATTAACTATACTTTGTTCATACAAACTGAAACTAGTTTCCAGAACTTCAAATCCATATTGTTTTAAATTTGGAATAACTTTCATGCTTAGACAAACCTTTGCAAAACTATGTAATTTCTTTAACATGATGCCAGATCTTGTTAATGGAGACTTAGGGAAAGGCAGATACTGTCTGTATGCTATTAATTCTCTTCAGACATAAATGAAAGAATTTATGTTTCTTGTTCAAGACTGGCCACAAACCCTACAGGTTAGCAGAACAAATAACACAGCAAATCTAGGTCAAACTTGTCGCCAATTACTCAGGGCACTGACTCTGCTATGCCTGAACAAGCGACAAATAAGATGACAACAATTTTTCTTAAGACTTTTTCTCTGTAGCAAAAAATATAACTGAAGAAAAAATATTTCCAGGAAGCTCCAAGCCTGCCCCAAAATAGGCCATTAGGTAGGTGCCAGTAGGTATTTTCTCCGTTGTTGCCTCCTTCTGCTCCACACTGTTAGCTGTCAGTGTGGAAAGAAGGGACACTTCCAGGATCCCAACAGCCCAGCAGGTGTATCTGGAGATAAGGGAGATTTGCAGTTACATTTTACTGGTCACACAGTGCTAAGGACAGAGCTGTCCTCACATGTCAACTAAGAACACACTCACTCCGGATTTCCTCATTTCACAGAACAAAGGGAGTTTCTTTCTTCAGTCAAAAGGGAACTCACCATACAGACAGAGCAATATTATCAGGAAAACAAGGCAAGATTCAGCCTGATCCCTGTTTCTGAATACAGCACAAAACATCACCAAGCCCCATTAGAAGGAACAACAGAATAAAGACGAAAGTTAAATGGAAGCAAATGTGGGGGCCTG